TCCACATGAGTTTTATCTTTCCTGGCCCTATGGTTCTTGAGAACAAGATTTTTAAATGATGCCATTTTTTTTTCACTAATTCCTAATTATCTCCCCTTGGAAGAGGGCATGGCCCTTCATTTGAACAAACTTGAATCCCCTTTACCCAAGGATACTTTGTGGCAAGTTTGGTTGAAATTGGCCCAGTGGTTCTTGAGAAGAAGTCGAAAATGTGAAAAGTTTACAGACAGACGGACAGACAGACGGACGCCGGACAAAATGTGATCAGAAAAGCTCACTTGAGCTTTCAGCTCAGGTGAGCTAAAAACTTAAGATATCTAAGGATTCGAGATATCAGGGGTAAAATACTAAGTGGTTGGGACTTCCAAATCACTTCTACATATCCATGGTATTCAAGATATCAGTGTTCGAGATATTGAATTTCAACTGTATGCAAATAAAGATATGAATTATTCAAAGATCTCAGTAAATTGCTGTATACAGGGTTATTTTTGCCCCTTTACACATTCAAACAATTTTACCCTGTTTAAAGTCACCAAGGCACAGTTTTGTTACAGAGTTCATGCTGTCTTTCATGAATCCTCCCCATTTCTAAATTCGCCCTCTTGCAACAAGGGTGAAAGGGATGAAAATAAAATGGGGACAAAAATTTCCCTGCATACAGTATTTGGAGGTATCAATTTCACAATCAATATTCAAGATTTTTCCATTGCATAAAATTTTTTAGGTCATTCATATGGCAATAGTTGGGGTGTTGTTTCTTTCTGCTACACTTTGCACTTACTTAAAATTTTCTGACCCAGCATTTGGAGAACATAAAAGTGTTGCCATTCTCAGCTTTGAAGTTTTTAGGATAAATTACACAAATGAATTTTTTTGGGGGGAAATCAGCAATATATTTTTAAAATATATTTATGTTGAATAAGTGTAGACATTTTGTTAGACTTTGAATAATGTCATGAAATGTGAGCAAATAATATAAAGATTTGATATATAGAAATTGGCACAAAGTTGCATATTTAAACACCAAAGAAAATCTACAATTTTTTAAATATTATCAATGTCATTTCTTTACAAAGTCAGTAAAAATAATTAATATATATTAATCCATGCATCAATTTTTTTCATTTGTGATATTTATCCTTAATCAGTAAAGGCCGAGATTTTTAACCGTACGGTTCTCTCAGGTAAGAGGATTGAGGGACTTTTGTATGCTTGCAGTATCCTGAGGCATTGACGGTCATGCAGATTGTGCACAGCGCAAAACCCTTGTTTGGCTTACGCTTCATAGGGAGATAAAATTAGTAGTTCTCTACATTGATAGAAAAATCATAATACTCAGCATTAATTAATATTTGTAAAATTCCATATTTCATATTTATAATAAACAGCTGATAAATATTAAAAAAAACAAACATAATTCCCATCGATTTTTGTAAAAATTGTCAGTGAGTTCGGTTTATCGTAAAAATTAATGAATTCAGGTAATTTTTAAAAAGTAAAATATTTATCCTCGCCTGTCTCTTTAAAATTTTTAAAAATTATTATTATCGTAAAAAGTATTTTAGCTTCGATTACTGCCATATTTAGAGTTACTTCCCGTTTGTATGAAAAGACGTGTGGCCCAATTTTTAAATGAGCCCAATGGTGAAAATTTTGTGAAAACACTGCCTCTAGAGGGTTAAAATATTATTCAAGTAAATCTAATTAATAACACTTTTAAACAAAATCTATATTAGTTGATAACATATGTATTTCTTTCAAAAAATATTTTTAAGACTGGTGGGTAGAAAAAAAGAAGAAAACCTTGATACCATGTCAAGTCAAAGTTGGCACTAAATCAATTTGAAACATTTTGTTTTTATCCTCAATATTCAATCTATTATAAGCAAACAGAGCCGTGTTAGCATTTTTTTCTTGTCTATAAGTTTCATCATATTTTTTCGCCATGTCTCAAAACTTAAAAAAATCCATGAGTGAAATTCTACTCACCTATTTAATCATAGTGTGCTTTGAATCGAAATTTACTTACAAGATAAAGAAGTTATTATACAAAGGCATGATTTATTTTACAGAATCATTATAAGATAAAATTATTTTTCATTAGTGTTTACTTAAAATATTTATAACCAAGTTCATTTTTTTTGTATCGATACGGCTTCTTTATCGAGCCAGTACAGACTGTATATATGCGGTAAACATCAAAAGACCGCAAGTTGTTTTGCTGGTTGCCACGAGTGCCAAACAAGGAGTACATATTATACACAGGGACTAGTAACTAAATTCTAATCAATTTCAAGTATCCAATGATAGACCTTAGTTCACTTGATTGACGGGGGTATCCAGATCAGGTAAAACTGAAGGCGGTGTTTATTATCTTGGGCTTTAAGCTTGTGTGTCTGTACCAGTGTTTGTTTATAGAACTTAATTACCCCCCCCCCCCCTCCTTGAATATTGGGACAGAAGTTGTTTAATGGTCACCTAGGTATAAAGGAGATGTTTAACCACCAGTCATAATGAGCTTTTTAATAATGACACTCCACCCCTGGCAGCAGATTTATAATATTTACGATATTTTCATTATTGAAAATACTTTTGTTCCAACCAACAAAAAAAGTTAATTTATATTCAATACACTTATTAATGAATAATAAGTTATCTGTGCACAGAAAAAGAAAGAAAGAAAAGTTTAGATTTTCTCATTTGAGTTTTTACTTTATTGTAAGATTAGAATAAATGTAATTGAAAAGTAATTTAAAATTAACTGTAACAAGGGCACTGCAAAGCAGAGCATCCCCCTGCAGAAGAACACTTACAACACACTCACCACTCACATCAAAACAAAAGCAAATAGCTGTTTGTACAAGGCAGTATCATATAAAATTCTTACCGACTTCCACTCTGGCCCGTAGAATGAGGTGGGAGGGGGGCACTTTTTCTTAGTATAGTATTTTGCTATACGCTGGTTGCCCCCCCTTTTTTTTTTGGTTGCAGTAAGGTCGGTTGGACGGTAAATAACATTTTTTTTTTTGCTCACCAGAGTATTTTGGGAAGTTGGCTCCCTCACTTTTTGGTTAGTTTAATTTTTTTTTTTTTTTTTTTTGCTTGTCAGATATTTTTGGAAGTTCCTCCCCCCCCCCCCCCCCCCCACTTTTGAAACCGTTGCTATAGGCCTGCCAATGATTACTGATTATTATTCAACTTCAATAAAAACACAATTAAATGATTATCTTTATCAACTCAATACAAGAGGCCTAAGGGCCTTAAGGGTCACCTGAGTATAATACAATATTATATTGTAAAAGATCCATAGAAGTGTAAAATAAAACAAAATAAGCTATTTTGCCCAAATGCAAAAGAAGCAGGATAAACGGGATCAACAAAATACTTAGTCAGTACTCAATAACAAATCTTAAAGTAGATCTTTTTACTTGCCTATACTTACTATCCCCATTCGAACTAAACAACCAATCTTATTCCCTCTCACATTGGCTTCTCTTGTTCTTTGAAGAACATTTAATGTACAAAGATAAGGTATTTTTTGTCTCTTTATTGATCTTTTATTTACAACCATTAAAAACTATGAAAGTACTTTTTAAATTATATTTTAAAAAATTTAGAGATTGTACTAATTTTGATGGTTTTAGCCCCCACCCCTCAGTCCCCAGGGGGCAAGGATCATGAAATTCATAATTTTTGTACCTCTTCACCCATTACTGCTATCTGCCAAAATTAGTTGAAATTGGTTCAACAGTTCAAGAGCAGAAGCTCAAAATGTTCAAAAATTTATGACCATTAGATAATGACACACAAAACAGATAGCAGTAAATCACCTGAGCGACTCACAATTTTGGAAGAAGCATCCTTGCTCATCATAACCATGCACTTAGTCTATCTGCTAAATACCCAAGAGCAGAGAAAGTTTTTCAAAGAATTAGTGCATTTTCATATATAATTAATAGAGCCCTGCTCTAAAACCAGAACCCCTGACCAAGGGACCATAAAATTCACAGTTTTGGAAGAGGCACCCTTGCTCATCATAAGTACCGGTATGCATCTACTTTATTGGCTTGTTTTCAATTTTAAATTTTTTCAAAGAAATACTATCTTATGTAAAGAGAGTTTCTATTGGCTGTATATTGAATGACACTGTCACATGTAAAGAGAGTTTCAATTGGCTGTTGTTGAATGGCAATGTCACATGTAAAGGAAGTTTCTAATGGCTGTTTCTTGAATGACAATATCTCAAGTAAAGAGACTTTCAATTTGGCTATTTGTTGAAAGACAATGTCTCATGTAAAGAGACTTTCTATTGGCTGTTTGTTGAATTACAATATCTCATGTAATGAGACTTCTATAGACTGTTTGTAGAAAGACACTGTCACATGTAAAGATATACTTTCTATTTCATTATCACATGTCAAGAGATTTACTTCTGGCCGTAATTGAATAATATCATATGTTGAGAGACTTACTACTGGCTATTTAATTAATGACAATTTTACATGTAAAGAGACTTTCTATTGGCCATTTGTTGAATGACAATACCAGATAAAGAGATTTACTACAAGCTATCATATGTAAAGAGACTTTCTATTTGCTGTTTGTTGAATGGCAATATCACATGTAAAGAGACTCTTTATTTGCTGTTTGTTGAATAGCAATATCACATGTAAAGAGACTTTCTATTTGCTGTTTGTTGAATGGCAATATCACATGTAAAGAGACTTTTTGGCCATTTGTGGAATGGCAATGTCACACGTAAAGAGACTTTCTATTTGCTGTTTGTTGAATGGCAATATCACATGTAAAGAGACTTTTTGGCCATTTGTGGAATGGCAATGTCACATGTAAAGAGACTTTCTATTTGCTATTTGTTGAATGGCAATATCACATGTAAAGAGACTTTCTATTTGCTGTTTGTTGAATGGCAATATCACATGTAAAGAGACTTTCTATTGGCCATTTGTTGAATGACAATATCAGATAAAGAGACTTACTACTGGCTGTTTGGTGATGGTAACAAGATCCTTGACATTGTAATATTGATGTTTCTCAAAGGCATCAAACAAAATGTCCATGACTTTTTCTTTAGTATCTCTAAGCCTCTTCTCCACTTTAGTTTTGTCTGATGATGAAGCCTAGGTGAAAGAAAGAGGTCAAAATATGAATGACACATGTAACAGAAAAGGAGAACTTGTATTGCTGGACCAGGAATCGAACCCAGGACCCATCCCTCAGGCACTCTACTGACTGAGCTATCCATATCGATATCCATGGTCCAAACCGTTACATTTCTCCCCTCCTTACACTGTCTTCGCCCTCAAGGGCACAACCTAAGTTCTTATTTGCCCCTGATTCACCTGCAAGTCTGGACAAAGGAAAGAAGAAGTGTATGGCTGAACCGGGAATCGAACCTGGAACCCCTGCATCACTAGTCAGGTGCTCTACCGACTGAGCTATCCAGGCCGATATCCATGGCCCAAACTATTACAAACAGGAATTTCATTAATTCTCCTTTTCCTATCGATATATTTCTCATGTTACATACCTTGTTTTTTTTTCATCCCAGAAAAGGAGTCAATCTTGCAAAATTTCTTCAGAGATTCAATTCTGTTTAATTTTTAAACAAGTGATACACTGACATTAACAGTCCCAGTGGTTCTTGAGAAGAAGTCGAAAATGTAAAAAGTTTACAGATGACAGACACCAGATATCAGAAAATAAGTGGATGCCCAACATCCTTCAATCAGAAAAGCTCACATGAGCCTTTGGCTCAGGTGATCTAACAGAAATATATCATTAGGGGGAGTTAGCAAGATTCCAGTTTCCCTAGGCGAGGACTGTTTCCCAAGACAAAAATATGTTAATTGTATATGTATTTTAACCACAATTTTTAATCAGACAATTAACTCTGAAGTTGTAACAACTTTTCTCTATGTAAACACCTTTATCTCTTCTGTTACAAAGTTGAAATCTTAAACAGTATTTATATTTTTTTCTCTAAATGACCTTGACCAAATGATCTTAGATAAACATCAGAGTAAATCTCTTTGACTGAAAAACATGAGGCCATTGGGTAACAATGCTCTTATGAGAGACATTTCAATCCCTGACAAATGACAACATACTACAGAACATTCTTGACACACTAGTCTAGTCAAAATTCACCTTTATTATGCTGTCAGTAATTTGTTGTGCAAGATAAATTATAAGTCCTTGTCATCATAAATCTGACCTCACTATCTGCTGATAAACTAAATTAAACAATATTTTTTTAGACCCAGTTATCTTAATGCTTTTATTTTTTAATGAATTACATTACTTCTGTGCTTTCATAATATCTGTAATTACTCCTGACCAACGTATCTTAGTGCTCTGAAATTAAATTTTTTTTAGTTTTCATCTGTGATTGGACTACAGTACCTTTATGCCTGTACCTCAGATTAACACATCATCTCTATGTCTATGTTTGGACAACAGCTTTTAAATTTGTCTATTAAATTTGAACACAATGTGACCCTTATTTCTTTTCATCTCTGATTTCTTTAAATTCTAGATTGTGTTCATGACCCTTAATGGGTTTATAAATTATAGTAACTTCTATTTCTGTAATACTTACGTTGTGTACACGGTCCTTTACAGGTTTATAATAAGTAACTTCTATTTATGTAATACTTATGTTGTGTACACGGTCCTTTACAGGTTTATAATTAGTAACTTCTATTTCTGTAATACTTACAATGTGTACACGGTCCTTTACATGTTTATAATTAGTAACTTCTATTTCTGTAATACTTACAGTGTGTACACGGTCCTTTACATGTTTATAATTAGTAACTTCTATTTCTGTAATACTTATGTTGTGTACACGGTCCTTTACAGGTCTATAATTAGGCCAAAGTTTTTATTTTTTTTGGTTTACGATTTTCTGTCTCCAAAAAATGCATTGGGTGGTCGAAAAATAAAAATAAAAATAATTTAGGATTCAACAATTTCATTTTAAAATACCAGCAATGTTTATTTTAATGAAAATAATACACGTCAATAGTACTTTTAAGTTTTATTGTCTAGATCACATAACTCTTTTTATTTAATTTTAATTCATTTCTAACTTTAGACTGAATGTCATTTTCATTTACATATAGTTCTGATTTTTGTTTGTCAATCAGTGCTTGGTTCATGATGTTCAACTTCTTTTTGTGCTCTTCAGTGATATGTGATGTGTTATAAACCTCAGTATCCCCACAAACTAAAAATAAGGATCCAAATTTAAGTTAAATTTAGATTGAAGAAAAATACAATTTAATTGTTTAACAATATTGAAAGTAATTAACGTTGAAATAAAAGTTATAATAATTTGATCATGCAGCTATCAAATTTAATGTTCCAATAATTCTCAATCAAGTCCTTTAAATTTTGTTATGTACCTGCACAGTAAGCAATGCTCATTATTTACTTTATAGTAATTCAGAGGGCTCTGATCTCAATTGAGTATCAAATTTGCAAAGATTTGTATATTAAAATTACTTCTATAAATTAACAAAATGTTTTATACACATTTGAATTTATACAGTGAAATACCAGTCAGCTTTACTTCAACTAAGATGTATCTCTCAACACTAAATTGGCTTCACTATTATCCATGGATTTATCAGCCTATGATTTTGGGAAACACCATTTTTGGGGAATTGGGAAAAAATATTGGCTATATGATGAAATTGGAATTTTTTTAAAAATGTTGCTTAAATCATGTATTCAGGGGTAATTCATTTAACATTTCAGCATGAACTCTAATTTGGGCAACCAAACGACAATTAAATATGATCCATCTTCATCATACAATGATACAAGATCAATTATGAATAATAGACTAATAAAGGTAAAATGGACTTCAATGAGTATAAAGTATTTTTACAACTTAGGGTAGTACATGTACATGTGTGTATGAGATTTCAATTTAGGTCATTATAGTATCTGTTTCTGGAGATTATAAACCTCCTGCAAAAATTATACTAAGTACACATTTTCTAAAAGTCCTCTTCACTTGCAGATCAATAGAGTAGGTGGAAATAACTTAATAAATCTATATAAACAATATCATCATTTTTAGAAAAACGAAGGAAATTCGGATTAAAAGTTGGCGATGTTTTTTCAGTGTTTTTAAACATGTGTTATGACTGTAGCTTTGCTAAATGAGTTAAATAGATGAAAATTACAGACAATCTGACAATTTTACTTTTTTCCAAAGATAATTAAAAATAAAAGCATTGTTCACCAACTGGGAAAAAATACTGCCAAATTGGAAAAACTGAACTCATTTTCAATTGGGAATGAAGCCGAATGTCGGCCCATGAGAAGGCACTGATAAATCCCTGTTATCTATAGGTGTATCCGTGTCTGCTAGGTCGATCAGGGTTGGGCATACACTCTCCAATATTACGGTATGAATTTAGCCAATTGAGACATCGCAATTAGAGAAAGGGATCATGCATCCAAGATTTTATTCACTTTTCCATGCAGAAAAAGTTCTTTAAGTGTGTGTCATTGCTTTCAGTGAGGAATTACCTTGTTACATGACAGAACCGCCATTTTTGGTTTGCACATGTGTTTATTTACGGTCACCTAAATGTTTGTAAAGGGTTCATATATTTATAAGACTAAGATGCATTCTAAAATTTAAAACCCACCAGTTCAGCTGAGAAAAATCCGGAAAAATATTTCGGAAAAAGACATTATTTTTATTTTCATGATTGGTGAAAATTAGGGTCGGCGGAATCGTAAACCAATTGAAAAAAAAACTTTGGCCTTAGTAACTTCTATTTCTGTAATACTTATGTTGTGTACACAGTCCTTTACAGGTTTATAATTAGTAACTTCTATTTCTGTAATACTTACATTGTGTTCACAGTCCTTTACAGGTTTATAATTAGTAACTTCTATTTCTGTAATACTTACATTGTGTACATGGTCCTTTACATGTTTATAATTAGTAACTTCTATTTCTGTAATACTTACGTTGTGTACACGGTCCTTTACAGGTTTATAATTAGTAACTTCTATTTCTGTAATACTTACGTCGTGTACATGGTCCTTCACAGGTTTATAATTAGTAACTTCTATTTCTGTAATACTTACGTTGTGTACATGGTCCTTTACAGGTCTATAATTAGTAACTTCTATTTCTGTAATACTTATGTTGTGTACACGGTCCTTTACAGATTTATAATTAGTAACTTCTATTTCTGTAATACTTACGTTGTGTACATGGTCCTTTAAACCTGGTCCTTTACAGGTCTATAATTAGTAACTTCTACTTTTGTAATACTTACATTGTGTACACAGTCCTTTACAGGTTTATAATTAGTAACTTCTATTTCTGTAATACTTACATTGTGTACACGGTCCTTTACAGGTTTATAGTTAGTAACTTCTATTTCTGTAATACTTACGTTGTGTACACGGTCCTTTACAGGTTTATAATTAGTAACTTCTATTTCTGTAATACTTACAGTGTGTACACGGTCCTTTACAGGTTTATAATTAGTAACTTCTATTTCTGTAATACTTACGTTGTGTACACGGTCCTTTACAGGTCTATAATTAGTAACTTCTATTTCTGTAATACTTACGTTGTGTACACGGTCCTTTACAGGTCTATAATTAGTAACTTCTATTTCTGTAATACTTACATTATGTACACGGTCCTTCACAGGTTTATAATTAGTAACTTCTATTTCTGTAATACTTACGTTGTGTACATGGTCCTTTACAGGTCTATAATTAGTAACTTCTATTTCTGTAATACTTATGTTGTGTACACGGTCCTTTACAGGTTTATAATTAGCAACTTCTATTTCTGTAATACTTACGTTGTGTACATGGTCCTTTACAGGTTTATAGTTTGTAACTACTTTTGTGATCTGAATTACTTCTCGTTGAGGTTTGTTTTTGGTTTCAAGCTGCATTCTGCAATGAGGCAAATTAATTACTAACAGGAAAAATATTGTAGATATATTAATACTTTTAAAATTTATAATGATCATTTTTTTTTTTCAGCACAATGTTCAATGTGTTGAGATTACAAACATTTTTTATTCTTCATCCAAGAAATGGCAATGAAAATAAGATGTGTTTGTGAAACTGATGCCCCCAAATGGCAACTTATAGCAAAGGTTAAACTTTCTCAAATGCAAATCAAATATATTGGTACCCAAAGTAAGGTCATGTCTGGAGGAATAAACCTGTGAAATATGAAAGTCCTAGCAGCAACCATTGAATAGATATGGAAAAGGTTAACATTTTTCAAAAGTATGTCAAACATCAAGGTCAAAATTAATGGTGCCAAAGGAAAGGCCTTCTCCCAAGAAATACACAGGAGAAATATAAAGCTGAAGCACCAATCGTTCAAAAGTTATGACCAAGATTAGAGTTTTCCAAAAGTAGGTCAAACACCAAGTTCAACCTCAAAGGACGAAGTTGTTGGTATCCAAAGAAAGGTCTTGTCACAAGGAAAGCCACAGCTCCAACCAATCAAAAGTTATGGGCAAGGTTAAAGTTTTTGTGGACAAACAGACTAACAGACAAATAGACAGATGGACAGACAGGGCAAAAACTATATATCCCCGAATCTTCGATATGGGGGCATAAAAAATATACCTGAATAACTTGGGGGGGGGGGGGGCATTGGATGGCAATGTTCTTTAAATATCAGCATCATGCCATCATGTCATTCTACGACCCACACTCTCAGTGTATTTGTACATATTGACCCCACAAGATCAACATTCAAAACAGAGCAACAATACTTACAATATGAGGACAACTAAATAAAATCCTCCTTATTGAGCTGTCAGTTACAAAAAATATACCAGGTATATATACAAATTTTGGCATTGATATGGTCTTCAAGAGTAAACTTGACCTTTGACTTTGTTTTCTGTCCAAGTGACAAAAATCTATTGAATATCCTCCATTTACATATATGAAGTCTGTAGTTTGATAGATAATCAATTATTGTGTCACAAAAAAGTTTTACTGGACTGACAGACATTACAGGGCTATCCTTGGAATGTTTTGTCAGTGTTTCCACTTTGGTTAAAAATGTTAATTTCCTTTTTATAAACATAACAAGCATATACCTCTTGAGATTCAGGTAGCTTTTGTTTCTGTCTGGCTGACAGTCCGCCCTTTGTATGACTTTTCCCTCTATGGCGATCCTGTCTGAGGCATAAACAAAATGATAAAATACATAGAGATGGGGTACTGAAGGGCCACTCATTCTCTGACCTTCAGAAATGGAGTCTGAGAGAGAAGGTGAGGGCAACAATGCAAGGAAGCAATGCCAACAAGAGGGAGCAAAAGGGCAACAATGCAAGGAAGCAATGCCAACAAGGGGGAGCAAAAAGATGAGGATGACGAAGCAGGGGAGATAAAGCAAGAACACAAGAATATGAGGCTTTCTCTCCTCTCCCCCACTTTGATGATTTATGTCCTTGCTCCCTTTGCTTTGTTCCCACCCTCATAATTTCTACCCTTTAAATTTGTCATCCTCACTTCCTTAAGTTGTTGCCCTTGCCTGCTTTCTTTCATGGGTTGTCTCCCTTTCATGCTCTTATGCTGTGGAAAGCTAGGGAGCACAAAGTCTTTAACATCAGTACTCCATTGAAAGAGGAATTTTGTTTACAGCATTCACAAAACAGAAACTTAAACCAGAAAGTAAATTCCACAAATTGTACAATTGCATTTCTAAATTATAGATACTTTAACTTTTTGGCATGTGCTTTTAAATGTAACATCCAAAAATGTAACTTGTTTATAGAACTACTAGAGTACTATACATGCACATGTAACTTGAAGAGCTGTACTCTCAAGTGTAAAACTGTGCTTAAAAGCAAAAACTTGTAGAATTGCATTTGTAGGATTGTACTTGATACCTGCAGATGGAAATTATACACTTTTATGTATTCTAATACTTAGGAGAAGGGGTTCCAAACTCTGGTAACTTAGTTATACCTTTTTGTAACATTTCTGCAGTTACAAGTTATATACAACTTTTTGCTTATTTCTACAAGTTATATATATAACTTTTTGCTTATTTCAGTATGGGTGTACCTGTAACTTGTAAGGTGGTATTTCTCTAACTTGATTATACAATCATGTAAGTTGTAGGGTGGTACTTATGTAACTTGTAGGATCATATATGTAACTTGTAGAATTGTACATGTAACTTTAGAGACTGTTCTTGAAAAATCAGAATTGTACATGTAACTTGAATTGTTTTGTAGCATGTAGAATTAATTGTATAAATTGTAAACTTGTGTTAATATGTGCAACTTTTTTAGAATCTAATTGTAGCATGAAAAAAAAAAAAAATAATCCTAACCCATAATGTAAGTTGTACCTGAAGTAATAAATTAGTGCAGTACTTGCTTCTTGTAAAATTGTTACTGAATTATGTATAATTGTGCTTTTTACTTTATAAAGAATTGTTTTCCTGTGAACTTTGACTTGTAACCTCTATCTAGCATTAAATTCTGAGTTGTAATCTGTCCTTGTAAACTGTACAGAATAGTTTATCCTACCTGATGCCACTACATCAACAGACCCTGTGCTTGATTCTGAAATGAAATACATACACATGCATAAAATAACTTGATAAAGAATTTTAAACTTTAGATTGAGTCTTTCATAAATTAACTGTACTTTTCATGACAACAAAAACAATTTTAATAGGTTTTTTTTATTGCCTAGAAAACACTTAAATGTTGAACAATTAATTTTTGTTTTGCATACACTTCCTTATAAAAATCGCAAATATGTGTGCAAACAAACAAAATAATGTGAGTATATGAACAAGAGGCCCTCGGGCCACAATGCTCACCTAAGACACCATTTTCTCCCTAACAAATGTACATGTAGATAAATGAAACTCCTTATTGTGGCCATCAAATTAAAAATTCATTTTTTCAACAATCTGAATTTAAAATATATTGAAGCTTATGGTATGGTGGTATTTCAATCACCAGGGTAATTTTGATTGATATGAAAACCTTAAAATGTTTTGTATGTAAACTAAATTTCTGTCCTTACAACTATTTATGCAGAAATTGAATGGATATCTCTTTGTACTTTGTTGATCACTCATAGTTTTCATAAGCACATGTTCTTTACTTAAATATGGAAGGATCCAAGGGGAGGCTTGAGCACAAGGGAAGTTACAATGATTTCATGTATTTAAAGCAATCTTAAGAAATGATCCTCATACCCTCCTATATATTCCGATATAAACTTTGTTCCCTTACTGCAGCCTCACCCTAACCTCTGGAGCCATGATTTGGTACATTTTGATCTTCACATAATAAGAAAGGTTTTATAAATGTTTTTTTTTTTTTTTTTTTTTTTTTTTTTACAGCCTAGTGGTTCTTTGGAAGAAGTCACTATTTCCTAATTATCTCCCCTTGAAATAAGACAAGGCTCTTCATTTGAATAACATGCATCCCCAAGGATATGTCAGGGCAAGTTTACTTTAAATTGACCTAATGATTCTGAAGGAGTTAAAAATGTGAAAAGTTTACAAATAACACACATATAGACAGTTAGATGGACTACAGACATTGTTCCTAAAAGCTCACTTGAGCCTCTGATACAGGTGAGCACAGGTGAGCTAGAAATTGTGTGACCACCTGTGTGATTTATATAAGTACAAAAAATAATAATAATTAATAAGCTGATATTTACATAATTTTACCACTTAACACTTTAAAAAGTTATTTTTCTTCAACTGATGTTTTCATAATTTTACCACTTAACACTTTAAAAGTTATTTTTCTTTAATCTATTTTCTCAGACAGTTTATTACTGTGGTGTCAATTTGCAAATCACTGACATTTGATTACTGTTTATAAGGCATTTATTATAGTATGATGACTTTTAGAGAATGTTGTACCTTGTTTGACTGTGACTGGAGTCTGGGAGAACACAACCAAGTTCTGGTTACCCAGACCAGTCAGAATCATGTTATGGTCCTGTGGGATAGGCATGTCCCCCGGGGAACCCTTAGCTACCTCTTCGTCAATTGTGAATGTCACTTTGGGCTTCTGTCCAGGAAATCTATAAATAAATGAATAATTAATCATGTTACTTTCATTTCAACTATTGTTATAGTGATCATTGTTCTGTTATACACTTTTCACTGGTTTTGTTCCTTATTAGTGCACTTCAAATGAAAACATGTTTTAGTTTTCTGAATATCACAGTTTTCTAAGATGACAGCCATGCCTATAAAACCAGTGTTTTCAATTAAGCCATAGCTCTGTGAGCTTGAACTTAATAAGGTCTGAGGAATAAGCTGCAATGGATTTTTTTTAAATTTTCTTTTTTAAGTAGCATACAAATGCAGCTCTTTCTATTTTAGATTAGACAAGACTAAGGAGCAGCTGGTTACTATAATTTAATTTTTATTTTCGATGTTTTAGTTCAAATTACTGGGGAAATATTGATACCAGAAACACTCCTTTATTTCATTGGAGTGAAATTGTTCCAAGCACATGTGTATCATTTAATTAAGAAGGAAAAAAAAACAATAACAGAAGATGCATTTTGAAATAACATAAGAGATTATTCTAGTTCCAATTTTAGCAGCAAAACTGGCAATCAAAAATCTAAATCTGTTCTTGGAATCAGACAAAAAGATGATTAGTACTTTGATAAAATTTAAATGATTGTTGTTAAAATGTCATGGCAACACCGATTATCAAGATTAAAAATCAAAGTATATATCAAAGTATATAGGACCATGTATCTTTATGAAGTGTCCATTTTTATTACAAATTATTAATACATTAAACAGACAAAACTAAATGAGATGTAGCATTTCAAAATAATAAAAACAAAATGTGTTGTGAAAAACTGATGCCCCCGTATGACAGCTCATGGCGAAGGTTTAAATTTCTCAAATGCAAGTCAAACTCCAAGGTCAAGAGATCAGAATGTTGGTACCAAAAGCAAGGTCTTGTTACAAGGAATACACATGTGAAATATGAAAGCCCAGGCACCAACCATTAAAAAGTTATGGTCAAGGTTAAAGTTTTTTAAAAGTAGGTCAAACTCCAAAGTCAAAGTCATGAGGTCAGAATTAATAGTGCCCAAAGGAATATCTTGTCATGTCACAAGGAATACAAATGTGAAATATGACAGCCCTAGCACCAACTGTTCAAAAGTTATGACCAAGGTTGAAGTTTTTCAAAAGTAGGTCAAACTCCAAAGTCAAAGGCTCAAAGTTGTTGGTACCCAAGGGAAGGTCTTGTCACAAGGAATAATCATGTGCAATATGAAAGCCCTATTTCCCACAGGCACTTGGGGTATTGACACCCCCCCCCCCTTTTCATTTTTTTTTCTTTTTAAATCTGGGGTCGAGTCACCTTTTTCCTATTTTTGTATTCTAATATACACTGTATGTTATCAATAATGTAACTCTTTTGTCTCTATAAGCTGTTTTTAAATATATCGTTTTCGACTGATACATAAAAAGAGAGAAGGCTTGCAACTCTTTTCTCATCGTCTGCCTCACCTCGCTTAAACTTCGCCTGATTATTTATCGAAAGAATAAGAAAACATGGAATATGCATATATCAATAAATTCGTTATACATTCTTCTTCCTTTTCATATTTCCATTTAATTTTTATGTGCCCCCGATTTTTAAATATTTCGATTGAATCACCCGCATCTAGCGTAAATTTTGTTGATGTGCACCAGCTGGGACGGAAGTGCCCGGTATTTTCGGGTATCATCATTACGTGTAATGTCATTCGGAACATTAAATGCGAGAAGGAATAAATCCCGAATTTTCTCTTCAAATAGCATGTAACGGTAAGTTCTGTGAATAACAAGATAACTTTAACTAGCAAATTCTAATGGACGAAGATTAACTTTTAACAGACGACCTAGACAACCAAATTTCACAATATTGTTATTGCAAAGCCTGGAATTTTTTTTTAACGCAGAACATTTATAAAGTTAGAGTTATCGTTATTGCACTTCCGTCCCAGCTGGTGCACATCAACAAAATTTACCCTAGATGCGGATGATTTAATCGAAATATTTACAAATCGGGGGCACATAAAAATTAAATGGAAATATGAAAAGGAAGAAGAATGTATAACGAATTTATTGATATATGCATATTCCATGTTTTCTTATTCTTTCGATAAATAATCAGGCGAAGTTTAAGCGAGGTGAGGCAGACGATGAGAAAAGAGTTGCAAGCCTTCTCTCTTTTTATGTATCAGTCGGAAACGATATATTTAAAAACAGCTTATAGAGACAAAAGAGTTACATTATTGATAACATACAGTGTATATTAGAATACAAAAATAGGAAAAAGGTGACTCGACCCCAGATTTAAAAAGAAAAAAAAAATGAAAAAAGGGGGGGTCCATACCCCAAGTGCCTGTGCTATTTCCAACCATTAAAAACATATGACAAAGGTTGAAGTTTTTTAAAAGTGGGACAAACTCCAAGGTCAAGGTCAAAAAGTAAAACATATTTGTATCCATGGAAAGGCCTTATCACAAGGAATATACATGTGAAGTATGAAAGCCCTAGCACTAACCATTCAAAAGTTATGGCCATGGGTAAAGTTTGCTAAAATTTTGCAAAAGTGGGTAAAACTCCAAGGTGAAGAGGTCAAATAAGTTACTACCCAAAGAAAGGTCTTGTCACAAGGAATAAACATGTGTGACAAGACCTTTCTTTGGGTATCAACATTTTTGAACTTCTTCTCCTTGACCTTGGAGTTTGACCTACATTTGAAAAACTTTAACCTTAGCCTTGAGCTGCAATACAGGAGTATCAGTGTTTCACAAACACATTATGTTTTGTTTTATATTTTCCAAGTAGTCATTGTTCATTGGTGACTGAATACTTTATACCAGAATTCATTCTGAAATACATTCACTGGTACAGCTAAGTATGAGAACAGTAGATCACACCTGTATCATCTGGTTAACACAAAGTTCTAAAATAAAATTCTATTATTTTTTTAAATGGCTTTTAAGTATTTTTGTTAAGAAATTAGAACATCAGCATAGTGCTTCACATGGCAATATTCTTGTATAACAATGTCACAGAACAGTTGTTAACACCATCAATTGAAGTTTTTCTCAGTTTCGTTGCTGTTGTAATATGTATGGGAATATATATATACCCAGTAATACAAGAAAAAAATACTGGAAGCATGTGACTGAAAAACGGTGCCATAACTTGAAGGTTTAAACAAAGCTTGGATCTGTAGCTCTCTGGTTTATCTGTCTGGATTTTCTCAAACAGAGTTAGTTCTGCAGCTATAATACATATGTACTAGATACATGAGTGCATCATCTGCAGTACATACTTGGATCGAGTGATTCTCATTTTTCCCACTTCTGTCTTTCCTGTTTTGTTCTTCTCCCATCTTTCCTGTAAATACTTAGGAACCTACAAAGTACAAATGAAGATCATGTGAGATGTAAATACATCAGAACCAACAAAGTACAAATGAAGATAATGGGAGATGTACAAAGAGGCCAGCAGAGCAACTTCTAACTCTCATTCTCAATGATAAAAAAATGTCATCATTCATGCTCCAAATTTTAATTTACATTGTAACTAGTATTAATTGTAACGGGGACCGTTACAGATGTTCCCCAACACTCCCCAACTCCCTTTTGGTGTCTTATTTCCTGTAAGCTTCATTAAATAAGGCAATTAAGTATATTGGTCATTTAACGCATTTCACGCGCGCACGTGCATGCATGTGCAGGTTGACCAGGTCATTCCGTCTATACTATAAATGCATCTTTATATTCTCAGTATCAAAACATTTCATCAAAAAATATATAAGTTCCGGCTATATCAAGTATATTGGTCATCTTAGCATTGCGCGCACGCGCACCTGTATGCATGTTCATAATGATCATGCCATTTTGTCTACACTTATAATATGTCTGTTATTCTTAGTATCAAAGCTTTTCATCAAAAAATATAAAAGTTACGGCTATATTAAGTATATTGGTCATTAAACACATTGCACGCGCGCGCATGTGCATGCATGTGCATGATGGCCACATCATCTTGTCTACACTTTTAATATATCTGTATATTCTTAATATCAAAGCTTTTCATCAAAAAATATAAAAAGTACGGCTATATTAAGTAAATTGGTCATTTAACACATTGCACGCGCGCGCACGTGCATGCATATGCATGCATGTGCATGATGATCATGTCGTCTTGTCTACACTTTAAATACATATAAATATTTTGAGTATCAAAGCATTTCATCAAAAAATTTCAAAGTTACAACTATATCAAGTAAATTGGTCATTTTACGCTTTGCGCGTGCGCGCACGTGCATGCATGTGCATGTTGACCATGTCATCTTGTTCATACTTTTAATATATCCTTATATTCTGAGTATCAAAGCATTTTATCAAAAAATTTAAAAGTTACAGCTATATCAAGTATATTGGTCATTTTACGCATTGCACGCGCACGCACGTGCATGCGCGTGCGCGCAAAATGACCTTCGTTCCGCAAATCTACATAACATGCCTAGTAACCCTAAAAAGGTTTCACCTCAATCGGATGTGTAGTTTCGGAGATCACTCACGGACAAAAAAGTACCCAGGAAGAAAAATAATAATAACTAGATGAGATCTCGTTGCGAGCAACGAGTAGGTCTTCCGTCCGATTTTTCGATAAGATGAGATATGATTTTGACTATGATCTTTGTTAAAAGATAATAATATATAGACTTCCCTAATTAGATTTCATTCTTTTGATTTATATATCATTATCAAAGAGGTATAGATGACATGCTTTTGGCCCCTCTGAGCCCCTAGTTTGAGGGGTCAGCCCCTTTTTCTTGATATCAATTGAAAGGTCTTGTGATTTTGAAAACGTTTTGTTCAAGAAGTATTCAGAGATTTCTTTTCGTTGTGGAGATATGCTGATTGGAAATATTTAGGGGCCATCCCTTAAAGTTTTTAGTGGGGCCGTGTGACAAAAACTGAAAGGGTGCATATTGTTTAGAACATTATTCTGACCATCTTTTGTTCAGTATTGCTTATCAAAATATTCCCCCTTTTCGAGATATAAAGCGTCAAAGATATAGCATTCTGGCCCCTTGTGACCCCTTATTACGTAACATATGATCAGAATCTTATCATATATTGTTGTAAATCGTTAAGATAAACATCTTTGCTTTAGTAATGTATTACAAATTATTGATCGTTAAAGAGTTATAGATGAAAGACTTTTGGCCCCTCTAAGCCCCTAATTTGAGGGGTAAGTCCCTTTTTCTTGATATCAAATGAAAGGTTTTGTGATTTTGAAGATTTTTTGTTCAACAACTATTCAGAAATTTCTTTTCGTTGTGGAGATATGCAGAATGGAAATATTTAGGGGCCACCCCTCCAAGTCCGTAATTGGGCCGTTTGACAAAAATTGAAAGGGTGCATATTGTTTAGAACATTATTCTGACCATCTTTTGTTCAGTATTGCTTATCAAAATATTCTCCCTTTTCGAGATATAAAGCGTCAAAGATTTAGCATTCTGGCCCCTTGTGACCCCTTATTACGTAACATATGATCAGAATCTTATCATATATTGTTGTAAATCAATAAGATAAGCATCTTTGCTTCAGTAATGTATTACAAATTATTGATCGTTAAAGAGTTATAGGTGAAAGATTTTTGGCCCCTCTGAGCCCCTAATTTGAGGGGTCAGACCCTTTTTCTTGATATCAAATGAAAGGTCTTGTGATTTTAAAGACTTTTTGTTCAACAACTATTCAGAGATTTCTTTTTGTTGTGGAGATATGCTGATTGGAAATATTTAGGGGCCATCCCCCCAGGTCCTTAATGGGGCCTTTTGACAAAAATTGAAAGGGTGCATATTGTTAAGAACATTATTCTGACCATCTTTTGTTCAGTATTGCTTATCAAAATATTCTCCCTTTTCGAGATATAAAGCGTCAAAGATTTAGCATTCTGGCCCCTTATGACCCCTTATTACGTAACATATGATCAGAATCTTATCATATATTGTTGTAAATCAATAAGATAAGCATCTTTGCTTCAGTAATGTATTACAAATTATTGATCGTTAAAGAGTTATAGGTGAAAGATTTTTGGCCCCTCTGAGCCCCTAATTTGAGGGGTCAGACCCTTTTTCTTGATATCAAATGAAAGGTCTTGTGATTTTAAAGACTTTTTGTTCAACAACTATTCAGAGATTTCTTTTCGTTGTGGAGATATGCTGATTGGAAATATTTAGGGGCCATCCCCCCAGGTCCTTAATGGGGCCGTTTGACAAAAATTGAAAGGGTGCATATTGTTAAGAACATTATTCTGACCATCTTTTGTTCAGTATTGCTTATCAAAATATTCTCCCTTTTCGAGATATAAAGCGTCAAAGATTTAGCATTCTGGCCCCGTGTGACCCCTTATTACGTAACATATGATCAGAATCTTATCATATATTGTTGAAAATCGTAAAGATAAGCATATTTGCTTCAGTAATGTATTACAAATTATTGATCGTTAAAGAGTTAACAATGAAAGACTTTTGGCCCCTCTGAGACCCTAATTTGAGGGATCAGCCCCTTTTTCTTGATATCAAATGAAAGGTCGTGTCATTCTGCACAACTTTTCTTCTATATGTTTTAACAAATTCTTAACATGTATGAAGATATGAAAGAAAAGGTGTAGAATTTTGTGAGATGTTTCTGAGATTTTTTTTGAGCCCTACCGAGCTTCGGCGCCTTTTGCGCTAGAGAGATTTGGACACCTGCCTGCAAATCTACAAACCTTCCCCTACGTTCACTGAAAATCTTGAATCAATATCTTAAGTCGTTTCGGAGGAGTTTCCAGGACAAGCTGACCCTCTGAAAATCAGAAAATCGTCAATATCTCACGACCGGAAGTGACGTCATCAACGAAAAAAATTTCCAATAAGGTTCAGATCAATACCTATCAGATCTGAAAGTTTCATGAAAATCGGCCGAGACGTTACCGAGAACTCGCGTGCACAAAATCGGTAAGAATAATAATAATAACTAGAAACTCATTGCGAGCAATGAGAGGTCTTCCGTCCGATTCTGAAAATAAAAACGAAAATTCAAGCTGAAAAAGAGATAAAAGAAATTCAGACACTCTGTAAATTTAACCCTTGTCGTCAGCGTGAAAATCCAACTTGCTAACGTTAACCATTCATTTTTTACATCACTTCCGGTCACGACCGGAAGCACCAGAAGTAACGGCTATACAAGATTTTCTCACGATTCATATAACTGATGACTGACCATCAGTCTTGAAAATTTTAGACTTCAGTCGTTTACTGTTGCCGAGCAATATTGTGAGATCAAATTCTAATTTTGAGGACAGGTAAACAAGAGACCGGAAGTGAATTTTATAAAAATCTTTGACTTTTCTCTAGACATTTGCAATATATACAACATACATAAAGTCATTTCAAGTACTTTATTGATGAGCAATATTTATGAGAAAGTTAAATATCAAAGTAAAGTAGTTTATCTCCTAAAACCGGAAGTTGACGTTTTTGTTTCCGGTGGAATCTAACATATTTCTAAACAGCGAAAGAGATGCAATAAAGTGATGCAAGCATTAATTTAAAAAAGAAAAGTTAATTTTTTTTTTAAATTTCTTTGATCACTTACTGTGACAAGCGGAAGTGACGACTGACGCGTTTAACCCAAATGGTTTTGCCTACTCCTCAAGGTCTATTACTTATAAAAGTTTGGTGTTTTAATCTTTTACCTAGTTTTGAGATCTCGCTCAGACAACTTCACATTTTGAGGACAGGAAAACATGCGACCGGAAGTGAATTTTTGAAAGATATTTACGATTACTCTAGACATTTGCAGTCTGAATAACATATTTAAAATTCATTTCAGATACTTTTTCTAGAAAAAAATATTGATGGAAAAGTAAAATACTCAAATTATGTAGTTTTTCCAAATTTTCCTTGTGATGAAACAAGTTCATACAATGACTAATTTTTCCTGAAAGTTTCACGAAAAACCACTGAATAGTTTTCGAGAAAACGCCTGCACAAAATTTGGTCAAAAAAATAATAATAATAATAATAATAATAAGAAACAGTAGAATCACTATAAGGTCTTCCGTGAAAACGGAAGACCTTAATAATAATAATAGGGAAAAAGAAACCGAACGAAAACAATAAGGTCTTCCGTTGGAGACGGAAGACCTTAACTAGATACTTATTGCCTAGGCAATAACAGGTCTTCCGTTTTCTTGACTTCTTTGAAAAAAAAACAATCTTGTCATAAAGATTACTCTAAATAATTAATAAAAGTTATCTCAAGGCTTCCAAAGATATGTAAATACAGATAAAAACAAACGGAATTACTTTTCTGTTTTCTTTATGTACTTCGTCATGAACGAAAGTGCTC